GAAATTACCTTAAATCGAAGTCGGTATGATGGAGCTTGAATTCGTGACCAAATGATCAGAAACTTCGATAATGTAATCACTGACATATTAGGACTCGGTTCATTTAAGTGAATAACATGGACAATATATATAGCTGGTTTTCACATTATTTGACTGAGAATTACTAGTGGTTTTATGCATACAACCCTACAAGAAATTAAAATAACACAGTTTCGATATGCGCTTTATTACTAAGTAATGCCAGAAAAACTAAGACAGACTAAATGTACATTACTAAAGATAACCAAGTCTTAATGAATAATCATTTTTTTAATTTTGTCTTATAACTAGACTATCATTCTCGAAATTTCATCATAGTCATTATCATAATTAAAATATGGTGTGCATTAATATTAGGAGAGTAAGATAATATTCTATTTCATTCACATTAATAATAACATAAAGTAATAATTTCTCTCTTTGTAAGTTGTTTAGTTCCATACTCATCCTATCTTTTCTTCTTCCTGTTAATCTTTTATATTTAGATTGGTTTTTTATTCCGGTTTCACATCTGAATCCTTAGTTCAATATGCTGTATGAAGTCGATTTCGTACTATTGATAATAATAATAATATGAAATATTTCTTCAAAGTTACTTGATTTACTAACAGTTAATGGGAAACATATCTTCGATATAATCAGGTATAGACAGAATATGTTGAATAGTGTTATTAACTTTGAATAATATTATTTATGTAAAGATTAATGACAATGTTACTCAGTGCTCAAACTATTACAGATTGATTTTGGGATTCGAATCTATACGTTGAGTGATTTAATCAATAAATAGTTAACACTGAATAAAAATCAATATTTCAATACAAAAATCTCGTTAAAGGTGGAAACCATTGATTTTAAGTTAATCTCAGATAATCTAGAAAATATTTATATCTAATATTCCAAGTTCTTTTTTTTATTTATTTAGAAAAGAAATACATTAATTCAAATTGTTTTCGTATCCAATGAATTTAAAGAAATTTAAACAATTTATGCTTGACTTAGTTAACATATGACAATCAGATGAAATCACGAACCTGTTTATTTTCATTACCGTTTAAATAACAATTGTTACGTCACACGTATATATTTTACAGTATGACCTAATTATGTAAATGAATTAATGTCAAGTTAATTTCAACATAAAAGTCATATGAAATTATGCCTTTGTAGCACAGGAATTTTTTCTTTAATAAAAAAAATGGTATGAATTTGTTCAAAGTGAGAATACACCAGATAATCATATATTTATTCGATATGATTGTGATTTGACCTCAGTCTGTCATAAGTAAACTAGGACTTGGGATATATGTGTATCGATTCAATGTGTCACACCAGTGGAAATAGTAACATTATCAGTAAAAAAAAAATTGGGTACAGGAAATATAATCTAAGAAGAATAAATGAATTTCTGGAGTAAAACGAGGGTAAAAAATGATTTAAAAACTCAGGATCTAAGAAAAGACAAAGGATGAATGCATCTGAGCCATTACGACTGATTCTGAACCATATGCTATAACACCTCCAACCATCATTTGAGATAATTACGAGGATCTCGATCAAGTAGTTTGTATTTACCAACATAGCTCAGTCCAATAGTCAATGACTTTATGGACTTATGTCTAGCTTTACTTGTGATGAGTCTAACTTTCTTCTGACCTATTATTACACTAGGAAAAATGACAAGTCAATGTAGATAGTGATTGAGCATATATGAACTAGATATTCCAACCATTCAAGTCGATGAAGATTCACTATTTTACCAATTAACTTTCTATCTTTAACTAGAGTACCCTGTGCCCAACCTCAGTAATACTCACTCGATAGTCCCTGTATACACGAGTAACATTTGTGAAGTATCTATGGTCGACTATTAAACGTTTAGCAACAAAAAAAAATTGACAATTGTTACTTCACTCAGTAATTGACGAAATAAAAGCTTACTATTATACCGAATATATTGTGGGGTGACTTTTTTTCAACATTAGCCGGTCATAATCAATGAAGGAGCTGGTAAAAATATGTATCATCTTATTTCTTGGAATGTTTTCGCTTCACTAAGTGGAGTGGGGTAACCAATATTAATTAGTTCAGTCAGCTAATAAATAAGTATTCGTTTCTTCTTTAAAACTTCATTATAATTATTTTATTGTAAAATTCTTGAAGTATGATCGAAGGGGTTTTGAACGACTTTAACAAAATGTCTGTTTTATCGCTTAAAGCGCGATTACATTATATTTGCAAGTTCATGAACTTATCTCAGAATAGATGAAATCGTAAAAGCAGATTAAATTTAGAAGTTTGATTTCATTTGTTTAGTCTTTAGTATTGACCGAGTTTATAATAGTATTCGTTTATCAAGTTACTTTTCGCGGGTTCTAGCCATACCTATGAACAATGCTCGGTATTGGTACCCGATAAAAATCTCTGAAAGTAAGTCATTTGTTTGCTACAAGTTACGAATAGGGGAATGCCCGAAATCCAGAAGCTACCGATGACGTATCACAGAATAATTAAAGAAACTCATTTAATGAGTATATGTACTCAGCTTTCACTCACTGTTTATATGGGCGGTAGTGACACTGCCATTCAACTGACCAAGAATAACTACTACCATTGAAGTGCTTCTATCCATTTGTACTGATGCATATATATGCCTGATCTTACGTTGTAGATGGCTGAATGACAGGGTGGAGAGTGGTTTGAATCTGGGACCTATTGACTGAATGGTTTAAAATCTAGGTCTCCGCTTGGTACAAGGAGGCACCAAATACATATGCGCTACACAAATCTCATTTGATGTGTGAGGGCTGTCATACTGCCCGGGTTCCCAAACCGAAGCAGGTTGAATTTGGGATGTCATTAACAGACTAAGTAAATAGATTTCACAGTGTACGTTTCTGGGTTTACTCTATAGGAATTTATAGACTTATATTACCACATCAAGTTAGTACAATCATATGGTCAAATAACTTAGTGTCTGGTTGAGATTTCTAAGGTAGTAAAAGTTTCCCAATGGTTACTTAGTGTTAGCACACATATGAGATATCAATTCAGAGTCTCTCATAAATCTACACCTCTAAGGATAATTTAATGTATATTGTCATGGTTCACCAGGAATCAAAGACACAACATAAAAAGAAACAGTTTCAGAACTGAAAACTGGATCACATTTCGTAATATTACACAATCGAATATCTAAAATTATTTATTTATTTGAACACATACAAGGAGGCACGAAATAGATATGCGCGATATAAATCATTCGATTTGTGTGAGGGCTGTGATACTTCAAGGATGCCCAAACCAAAGCAGGTGGTTTTCTTAGGAGGCCACACCCCGAGACAATGGAGCAACTTCAGGAGATGCAGTCCCATGGTAACCGGTGGCCAACAATAGGTACATATGTCGCTTGTTTGTTTAGGATCACTGAGCCCATGTGCACCATTGGTTTGGAATCACGGTTTTCCAACTCCCCTAGGTGAATCCTCCATATGCACCAACCTGGTTAAAGCGTCGGACATTCGATTTTCGTCCTCTCAATTCCGTAACCAAACCCCTGTCACGAGAGGGCAGTGAGCAGAACTTTCCTGAGAGTGGCTGTATACACGTGGCCCTTTGGAAGCATTCCGAGAGGGAGAGCAGGCTCCACCCTCGGCCGTACCATGGTATTTACGGGCAATATCTAAAATGGTATCTAGTTTACTGGTCACGAAAAATGAAGAATCTTCAAAATGAAAATTATTGTAGAATAAAGTATCCTGTAAAATCACTGAAAACTTGCTTTGCTTTTAAAGCCGAATTTTCGATGATAAAATATGAGAATTCCAGGTCTTCATGGGAGGATGGCTAATTTTAATCTTGTCAGTTAGGATTCTTAAAATAAAATTTTACAAGAGTTCAGTCGATCATTAATGCTCACAGGAGTAGATTTATATTAATAACGGCAACATTAACGTGAAAAAGACAGCTCTTTGATGTTTCTGAGATCAGTATTTGATGATAAAAACCATTTGTACTCAGTCAGTTGTTATCGAAATAGTTGAAAATGAGATTAACTCATTTACCAAGTATTTAGGCATGAACAACATGAGAGCTGGTGATACTACCCGATTACCTAGACCAAATTATGTGGAGTGGGGTTCAAACTTGAGACTTGAAGTCAAACACCTTAACCACTAAGTTGCCGCACCATAGAAGTAAAGTCAGCACTTTATTTGTTTTTACCTCATCATCAAATAGTGAACTACACATGCATCAAATTTACTGGAAATATAAAACACTAAATATCTTTTGAAAATAACACACCACAATGACGATAACACACATGAAAGTGATCAAACTGAGGTTCTTGGTAAAAAAGAAAACTTGATGGCAAGAAGTTATGTCTAATTAGTTTCACTTCGTGTTTCTATCAATATCACTTAACCTAATGAAAAACGGAAAACTGTCAGGATAATGAAACTATGACATGATACTGACCTAACTGATTCAAGTTGTTTTTGAAGCATGGGATCCATCATCTGACATTTAAACTATGATTTTAGTTATATTCTCTGAATTCATTTTAATGTCAGTTTTATTTAGTCTTATTTATTGGATAACTTTATATTATGAGAGTGCATTAGATTTACGCACAATATTGCGGCATTCTACACTTTAAGCCAGTTTTACAAATACAAATCTGGATCAACCAGACATACATGCTACACAGTATCACGAGACTATATGTATGCATATACATATAATTAGTATATACATTTTAATTTATTAAAACTGTCATGGAATAAATGATTGTGTTGAATTTCAGTTGTACTAGACTACCATCATGAACTATGAGGGTGTACATATTCTATTTGGGAAGCTAACAAAGCAAGAAATTAACGTCAACTACATTGGCTACTATTGCCGTCGTAATGACCTAACAATACAAACGGAACAGAAAACAATGAAACAACCAATTTGGAAACGTACACTTAACAGAAATTGAAATTTTTTTTATTCAAAAGAGAACAAAACAGTAAATTAATGAATCAGTGTACAATTTGATATTACACTTTTTATAATCTGCCCTTTTTTCCAATTTAAACATATTCGTTAACATCTTAAATCATCATCAATGTTACAAATGAGATAAACAAACAATTAAAGCTAACTAGGCAAACATTTTAACGTATTCACTTACGTTGACGAATCAAAAAGATATTGTAGACGTAGAAGATAAAACTGGACAGACGCGGACGGACAGTGAGTAAACATCACGCATATATATATTACAAACATGGGAATTAGTGTTAGAAACTACTCAGTAATAATAATAATAAATAGATTAAACAGTCTGTGTATTTCCGAAAAAAAGAAAGAGGTAGTAGAGGACCGAGACAAGGAGTATTGTTGAATTTTTACTATTAGAAATGTAGAAAATACAAAACAAACAAAAAGCAGAGGAATAAACAAAATGAACACAACATTATTAATGAATCCTAATAACAACTGGGTATTTTATGTGAGTGTAATATAGTAAAAATTAATCTGAATAAGAATAGTTGATAATTTATAGTCACCTATATTGATATATGATAGCATATTACATACAGTATATAACGTTTTTATTTCAATAGATAACCGATAATGCAAAAATAATTGTGCTTTTTATTAAAGTTTCCCTTTGTTTTCAGCTGTACATTAATTGCGATCAAATGTGATAATAGTAGTAGCCCTAATCGTAGGATGAACGAATACAATTGAATAATTTAGTTAAGTCAAAAGTGAGTGGTACAATCATGTTGAGTATGCATGTATACATTTATGCGTAGACAAAGAGAAAGCAAGAGATAAATTAGTTTTATGGTCACAGCCAATTACGATTAATAATTCGTATTGCCTATATGCTCATTTGTGTAAGTAGTATACATATATGCATATAATGTATGTGGATATCTGTGTACTGTAAGAGTTTAATGATGAATAATTGCTTGTAAGTTGAGGAACAATGAGAGGATACATTGAATTATTATCCCTGATAATAACATCAGTTATTCCCTTCTCCTATAGTTATAAAGTATTGATTGTATGTGTTCCATTTTTACAAAGAAAACAAACAAGACAGCACCATAAATAAATAATTAGTAAATAATATTGTTAGAGCAGTGTTGTTTGAAGTGAAATATAACATTAGAGTGATAGATTATAACACTAGGCGTTAAGATGAAGAAGAAGTAGGAGAGACAGGATCATATTGTGATTCAGAGGCATTGTATAATGGAGTAGCAGAATCTGGTTCATCTGAATTTGATCCTAATTCTGAAGTTAAAACAGAGAGATTAGATAGTCGTGATATACGATTCAGGTAAGTTGTACTTCCATTATTATTATTGTTAATCGTAGCACATGTATTTGCTGGAGTATCACTGGTAAATTCGGTAAGTTCGTTTGAAGTCACAGAATTTACGCTATGGTTTAGTGTACTAGTATTAGTAATAGTAGTACTAACAATACTACTAGTTTGAGTTTCGAAATTAGAAGATACAACAGTAACTACAGATTCTGGCGCTGATGTTCTTAACTGATTGTTTAAATTTGAATGAACTAAGTGTGGAGGAAGTGGGTCGATGACAGCTTGTTCTAAGCCTGTTGTTAAATCACTGACTGATTTACTCTTTACACATTGAAAATCTACATGGCGTGATTTATTTTCTTCTTCTTCCCAAGACATACGAATAAATGGACATTGAACATAGTTGTAAATTGCTTCCGGTCGAGCACCTGGACGAAATTTTACCCGATCTTTACAAGTTGGATAACCTTCAATGCCAATACGTATTTTTTTAAGGCTACGTTCAAGTAACACTTGTTTGGCTACTTCACGATTTTCAATATATTTTAAAAATCGAAACATTTGTGTACTGTAAATTATATGTGAATTTAATTCATTATCTGGCATTTGTGGAGGATAATCTGGATCCCAATCAATAGTTTCATCATCTGTTACAATGACAATATGACATTCACGTTCACCTAATTGAGTACACTTGACAAGTAATGAGAGAATATGTGTTTCAAGAAATTGTCCAAATATACCATGTGCACCATCATTTGATAATTCATGTAAAAATGCTCGTAGATTTTCACATCTTACAGTTTGTTGATTGAATGGAATAAGAAAGTAATCACATGCTTCTTTAAGTTCTTGTACTGAAACACCGGGTGGACAAGACATACAACCAATAAGATAATAATCAAGAATTGTACGAAATACCTGAGCTGAGATAGTTGAATCTTGAGCAATTGAGATATCTGGTGGATGTGTTTGAAAATTATGGTGGATTGTCGTTGTTGATGATGATGATGAATGTGTGGTAGTTTGTGATTTACTATCACTTGGTGAACTGCTTTCCATTGACGTAGACTGAGGATAATTAGTATTGTTAAGATTATCATACAAATATTTAGTCTCTAGAAATTGTGAACTAAACATTCGTCCAAGCATTGTATTAGGATGAGCTTGAAGAAGTTCAGCATCAATGAGGAATCGAACACCATCGACCAATAGACTAACACGCCGACGTCTACTATTAGATGACTGTCTTGAGGTGCTGATATTACGGGAAAAAAATACATAAATAATTAAGAGAATACGGTAGAAAAAAAAGGTGAATCATACACTAACACATCCGATTCTGGACGGTTCTTTTAATTTGCTTGAATGTAAAGGTCTTTGAACAATCTTTGAGCAATCCAATTCTATACTGTACAATAATTTGAAAGTATTTATGTACTGGTTAGGTGATAAGTACTAATTAGTAGTACGTTAGAAAATCAGAAGTGGATAACGTATATTTTATAGCTGAAACTTTACGATTACGTAGCATGGAAAAGTTTAACCTATCCTCCTTGAGCACTAGTACTTTTTAACAGATTTAATATACTTATTTGCTTTAAGTAACAGCTAGTTTCTTATAGAACTGGGTAATATTTTAATACTTAAGTAATCCCATATTTGAAAATTAATCAAGTTGTGACTGCTTCTGTGTGAATAGGGATCTTATGAGAGGTGTTTAGAAGACTAGGTGTTTTCAGCAGGCAAGACTGCATCATACGCGTACTCAAGATTACTGAGTGGTTTTCTAGGCGGAAATTCGTAAAATAACGGGGTGGGGTGCACATATGTGCCATATAATCCTTTTTGGGTGTAGCATAAAACAATAGTTGTTACAACGGAACGAATATTGTAGAAGTTGGAACTGGTTCATCGAATTATTCTTAATTATAATTTTATTGTACAATTACTAAGTAACTAGATTACCATATATATATTCCATTTATCGTAAGCTTTCAGTTAATCCATCAACTACAGTTATACGATTTACCAGTCATATTTTATCGTCAGTCTATTACTTACAGTCTTATCTAATCACAACCACTTTCTGACTTAATCATGCATTAATGTTATTTTATATTATATGGTGCGATGCGGTCTAGTATGTTTGTTTATAAACAACGTCTGTTTGAAAATATTAATAGAGGCAGGTTACTACTTTGCACTCGGGACAAGATAAAGAGTAAAATCAGCTAGTAAATTAATAGGAATCTAGCTGCCGGTTCAAGGTCAATAGTACTGGTAGGGCGTCTACTAGGCCGTCAGATACAGATAAATTAAATGACAGATCAAATTAGGATTCTGATTGGTGATTTGGGGAGTGACTTTATTCATTGGTCCCAAGACAATAAGTGCCATGCACTCATTGTCCTTGAGAGGTCAGGCAACCCAAAATTAGGTTTAATGTCTTTTTAAAATCCTCTTATGGGTATTTCTACTGACAAATCACTACAGCAACAAATTTAAATAATAAAACTAAGTATAGACTATAACCTAGTGTTTCAGATTTACTCTAGTTAGTATTTATTTACGGGATTTTGTGCTTTTTAGAGCGGGTTTTATGTAGGTGATTAGCTATAGTAAGATCTTACCCATGGAAATTTATTTATTTATTTAACACATAAACATTAGTACAAGGAGGCACGAAATAGATATGCGCCATATAAATCATTCGATTTGTGTGAGGGCTGTGATACTTCAAGGATGCCCAAACCAAAGCAGGTGGTTTTCTTAGGAGGCCACACCCCGAGACAATGGAGCAACTTCAGGAGATGCAGTCCCATGGTAACCGGTGGCCAACAATAGGTACATATGTCGCTTGTTTGTTTAGGATCACTGAACCCATGTGCACCATTGGTTTGGAATCACGGTTTTCCAACTCCCCTAGGTGGATCCTCCATATGCACCAACCTGGTTAAAGCGTTGGACATTCGTTTCTCGTCCTCTCAATTTCGTAAATAACGCCCATGGAAAGTAGCATGTATAATAAAGTTTCACACTGTTTAAAAAGTGTTTTGTCACTAAATTTTACACGTTTTGTACTTTCATTCATATCTAAATTAAATAATTCTTATTGTGTTGTTGGTGTTTTAGAAAGTTGGTTTGTTGTTCTATTTCCAAGGATATATTAGATAAAATTAACTCAATAACTTAATCTAAAATCCTCTAAAAACTGCTAAAGATAAACCATCTATTAATGGGTAACCTGGAGATCAGGGTGCAGCGATGTCCGCATTCATTATTTATGTTAGTAGATACTAGGAATATTCACCCTTTTTATGTGAGTTCAATATGAGGTCAGCATGTCCACCAATAAAAGTTTTGGGTAAAGAGTACGAATGCTACATATTTACAACCCAAAACGTGAATTTCCGCCACTCAATTAATTTATATTATTGTTTAGCAACAGTATTCAACGAAACCGATTAAATTATATTTAGAGATATTTACTCTGTCATAACAAGTATACGTGACACGATTAAGTCAAAGCGAAATCAATAAACATGGACAACAACTAATTAGTTGAAAGCTGGGTCCAATACATAAGTTGATGGTGACCGTTCGAATTAAATATTGAAGTTGAAATAGATACTTGACGAAAACCACTTTTAAGTTGAATAAATCTTCAGAAACAAATAAACAAAAAAGCAGAGTACTTACTTAACTGGAGATGCTAAATTCACTTCACAAAATGGTAGTGCTGATAGGGAATAGCGTCTCTGTTCTATGTTTGTAGATTGAAATTGTGTTTGGTTTATGCAACTATTAAGTGTATGGCGACCATCACTACCATTGCGAGGACAAAATAATTTAGTATGTGGTGATGATAACGTGAAATCTAGACCAGAATCGTCGTAAAATTCCCTACTAACACTTGCAGGATTCATAACACCGTTATGTCCATGAAATGACCCATAATCTGAATGATGATTTACTTTAGCAGAACTAGAACAAGACTCAGGTGGAGAATCACAATTAACTAGTGAAGTTATTTTATTTGGATGATGATGATGCTGGTAACTATGTTTATGAAGTAAGGGGTAATTTGTTAAATGGTGATTATTATAACTGTTGTTTGGACAAAAATTGTAGTTTCCACTGCTGCTACCAATAGCATGACTACACAAGTGACCTGATAGTGAAGAACATCTATGGTGACAGATATTATTTACTGTTGTTGTTATTGCCGATGCTAGCGGCTGAGACGCACAAATAGTCGATGATCGTCTACTTAAGTGTATTCGTTCTAATTGTGACGGTAGATATGTTGTAGCCCAGTTATGATTATTATTATTATGACTATTATGATCATGATTACGATATGAGAATGTACACGGAATGTTAGATGTAGTAGGGATGAATGAGTTCGATCGAGTACATGATATATTTGTTAAAGAGTTATTTACTAAACACATTGTATGTCTCATTGAATTCGTTGTTGTCACAGTAGTGATAGGATTATCTGAAACAACAGACTGTATATTTTGATCACTTATAAAACTATTATTATTGTTATTATTTTCATCATCATTATTCATGATATCAATTGGAGTTGTTGCTGCAATTTCAATGCTTGGATAATCCTTAACAGATGATTGATAATTTGTAGACTGTATATTAACTGGTATAGTCAATGGTACCGTTTCTGATGAAGATAATGATGGTAACGGTGATCCAATTGTTGTTAAATTACAATTTACTGAGTAGTTTGTTTGACCTGTATTGGGTAAACCAATTTGTTCATTTATTTCTTTTACACTAGGATCAAATGAAATCCAATTTACACCAATTAAATCATTAGGGATATCCACTAGTGAATACATACATTTAAAATCAGTACCACCATGAGTAGTATGTTGTGTACAATAATAATAACGATTATCATTACTATTACTACAGAATGAGCTTCGATTACTATGTGATTGTGATAAATCCAAAGGAATTGGACTAAATGAATGACTTAATATCTCATAATCATTCATATTATAATGCGATAAAACAGATGTGAATGGACGATTAACGGCAACTTGTCTCTGTAAGTTTTGCGTTGTTGTTGAAACAGCAATAGAATTATCTAGAATCCGAACACGATTTCTTTTATGACGTGTACTATCATTTCGAATATCTGATTTAGGTTTAGTCCAATCTGAAATAACTCCAGAAGGATGTGGTGATACATTTATTGAATTTTTTACTTCACATAATTTATCATTTGGTTGATTACTAATTGCCAAATGATCTGTTGTATCAGTTTCGATACTAGTTGTTCTATATTGAAATTGATTACGTCGACGTTTTTTATCACGTTTATTCTCAGAACTATGATTAAGTTTAACTGATGACGATGAACATGATGCACCATATCCACTTTCACCATCTAATTCAATCAATTGTTGGTGATGACATTCATCAGACAATAAATTAATTGTACAATCTTGATCGTGAACATGAAAGTTTTTATCATCATATTCTTCATCGATATTATTATCGTTATCGACTTGATCTGTCTCCATTTCTCCATCCATTACCCCATCATCATCAACATCATCAGGATTGTCATCAGATAAATAACTAGGTGAGAAATGCGATGAAGAAGCTGTCGATGTATTTGTTGTTGATCTTAACAAACTATGATGATGCTGTCTTAGCGCAGCGACAACAGCTTGGGCTAAAGGCGGTGCAGGAGAATTGGATGGACTTATAATATCATCAGTGTTTGACAAACCGTTGATATCATTATTACCATTACATGTATTCATTAGATTATTTATATTCTATAAAAAAGTAAAAGACAACTGGATAACAATATAAAGAATAATCTGCTAATACAAATCGAAACTGATAGCATTCCGAATTCCATCGTCACATTAAGAAGTTATAGAGATAATTTGTTGTGCTGGAACCAGTTATATTACAAAATTAACCAGTTTTGTATGTTATTTTGTCAACGTATTTCCTCCTGGTTTATGGACTATTATCGGTATGATTAATTGTTGTGATTCATGTTGATCATCACACATATAATGATAGTCATAATTTGAACAGATACACAGCTACTTCAGTGTTCAGTCTCCAACAGTGAAATCCCGGATGTGCGTTTTATTCAATCCAGGACTCTTCGTCTGGATGTGAACACCTCGCAATCATGATATTTGCACTAAAACCCGGACCTAGTACCCATCGCTTCAAAAATCGTATTATGTACTAAGCGACTGAGTCATGAATGATAGTCACTTACTTGTTTTTACACTATTTATGTCCATCCATCGGCAATTCGTCTTATTAAATCCTTTTCTGAAGTGGTGTTATTTAGGAACAACAAAATTCGAGTGAACAACTAATTTGTACGTAATTCCATCATCAAATCTATTTGTTCATGTGAAGGTGAATCAGAGAAATGAAGAGAGACGAAACAACGCGCGGTGGAGAAGGCGAGTTATCCAACTCGTATTGATCAATCGTGACTCAATATTTTAATTCGGACAAAAATAAATTACAGACACATAATGAATAGGATAAGCAATTGGCACACATACGATCATATAAAAACAGTCAGGGTTAATAATTGAATAACTGACGAGATCAAAATGCGGCTTGGGAAGAATGTGTAAATTTGTCTGTTCAGAAGCTAGAAAAGCCAATATGGGTTTGACATAATAGCAGGCACTACAAGTTATTCAAAGACATTAGCAAACAGAGCTAAAAACAATCGCAACGTTTTACTTCCAATTATTTTTTTATCTGGAAAAACTCATTCTACAAAATCATTGAAAATAAACAGCCAAAATAATTCTTGCAATATAAACTTTAACAAACGGACTTACATTGTTTATAGCTTTGATAGCATCAACCGAAGGAGGTGGGCTGCGAGACTGACTTCCATGCTTATCCAAGAATTCTATATGTGAGTGCCTACGCCTTGCTCCCAATGATGTTGAAGAGGATGCCTGAGCAATAGATGGTGGAGAAGAGAAGCTACTTGGCTTTGATTTAAAAGAGATATTTTTATTGACACCACTTGTGATTGCGTCACTGGTACATGCAACATTGGGTTCATAGTATGAAGAAACCTCACAAAGTGTTCGTTGAAATGATCCAGGATCGATGGATTTTAAATTACTGGTAGATGTAGGTCTAGGGCCAGTAGAACTGGATGACCTGAGGACTAGGCATGGTTTGGCTGCGACACGATAGTGAGTAGGATTTGACTCTTGGTCACAGACTACGCCAAATGGCCTTGAAACGCTACCAGTGCTGTGACTTCGACTTCGACCCGATACGGACTGATCAGATCTGGTAATTGAAAGATATATACTATGAGTAGCTGTTAAATCAACAGAATATCACTCGTTTGTATACAGCTTATAAGAACAATTCTATCATATTAATATATTATTAGTATGTGAAAGTGTCAATGTATCCGATCAAACTACTAATATATTGAAGCAGATTATATTTTTTTATCGAAGAACTAGTAAGTTATTACGTGTTTACACTAAAGTTTAATTGGTTTACTATCGAAGTATTTTTATCCATTTATGTATCACTTAAAACAATAACTGAGCAATCTATCCGAAACAATTTAAAAAACTTTTTAAAACTGGGAACTGCTCATCAGTTATTGAAAGATAACGTCAAATAGTGTTAGTCTAATACAACAGAAGTATAAAGCAAGTCTACCATTGAATGAATTAGAATTGGGGGACGAACACATAACACGAACAAAAACAGTTAACGTTGGAACCACTTCATAATGCACAAGTTAATGGAGTAAGTTATAGATTATGTTACCAGTTATCTCATGTGATATCGAAAGTTTGTATTTGAAGTAACTGTCAGAATAAAGTATCTAATGTTTTAAATTGGAACTTTCACAGCTTTAGAGGGTTAAAGAGCTATCATCCGAGTTTTACATGATTAATGTATTTATTAGCGATTTATACTGACGCTCCTATTAAGAAATATGTTATGCTCCAGATTCCTAAGAGACTAACATTGTAGTTTTGACAGATGGGATGGGACAGTTGACTATAATAACAAAGTGAAAATTTAAAAAACATCTGACGTGTCTCCATATCGGGAGCGTTTGGCAACTAATCATTACGAATGCTACTTCTTAGGTAATAATAAATAATCAAATCTTAGGTACCTAAATAAACCAACGTGATTCTAGTTGTTAAATCTTAATTTCAGGACAAAAGGTCTTGTTAGTACTGAATATATGGCATCAATAAATCGTTGGATGGACATTTCCACATAATATAAACTCGATATAGTTGATGATCACTCACATCTGTGAGGCATTTCCCATTAACAGTAGACTTGTTAAATGAAGAAATGCTGATGTAAGGTATTAGAGAAGTTATTAGGTTACTGGGATTAGACAATGGACATTTTAGAAATATGACACACCTAAAGAATATCAGTTAAGTTAGCGATATTTCCGAAGTCTTAGGAAAACAAAATTAAATACTGCATTGTAATCGTTGGTCGATTTTCTGAATATAGAGACAACTTATGGGTTTTTGTAAAAGCCTCGATAGTAAAAATTGGTGGTTAGTGTAACCCAGAAACTAAGAAAATGTTCAAATACTCCGCTTTTAGTCATATTTTTATTAGGGTTCACAATTTTACTCGGCTGCTGAAACCAAAATAAGTCAGCGGAGTGCGGACCTACAACTTGATGATTAAAAGCTACTTTTTCTACATAGTGATCCCAATAATCTTTATCATTGGTTTAAAAACTACACTGGTTAGAATAGCGGGTCGATAGTTACTAAGTCTCTGCTCCCCATCTTATAAATAGAATCAAGAATTACGTCTCTCCAGTTTCATCGGAGTTTAAACTGTCTCAAAGATGCGCCGAACAGTATTACCAGGGGTTCAGCAATTATATCCATCAGGGCTTTTATAATCTTAAAATGAGTATCGTCGGGACCAAGAGGCTTATCTGGCTTGGAACGTTAAAGTAGTCATAAGACAGCTCCTTTCTCAGTAACCACAAGATCCACCGACAAGCCACCATTATTACAATCAATTGTTAGTTCTTTACCATCGTTGACAGAAAACACTTTATTAGAGTACCGACGGATTTTCTTGCACCAAAAGTGGTAGGATTCCATTAGCTCTCTGAGTGCGCCACTTAATATATGAGGACGATTTTTTCGGACCATTTTCACAATCCTTAACCAGTTGCTTTTATGCGAAAGTCTGGGCTTACTTATTAACGCTCCACACGTGTTCCTATTGAATCTGTACTGTTCAGATGCTGTAGAAGTAAATATACTCAAATACTTTTTACTATGTCTTACTTGAACAGTAAAACATACAAAGCTATTGAGATTTAAGCTTCGAGCATTTTTGTTTGAAGTGGGTTTTAAACAAGTATAATCCTTGTGTAACCACATTTTACACATACCACATTGCATTCCTTTTTCCACAAGGAAGAAACACTCTGGCTATCCACATTCATAAGCACAGCTTACCGTTGTGAATGAACTTAAAAGGGGGGAAAAACCGACAAAAATGCACAAGATAGCTACTAAAATGGAAATCAAATAGTGTCACGAAACGGACTCGAGGAAGATTCCAAAACCTAAATGAAGTGATTCCGGTTAAAGTAAACCAAATATACTTTGGATGCAACAAATACACAGACGTAAAGTTAGTTCACAAGTACGAATTTACTGCTTTCTTAAAATCCACAAAAATGAACAACGTGGAGACTGAAATGGACTGTGATTGAGGTGTCTCAAAAATCTGATACGGAGCAAACGGTTTTTCGCAGAAGCACTAAGGTGATTTATAAATTACTCTGACCATAAGGGCATCCTTTATCTTTTAGGAATATAGCAGACTGGGTCCTTAAAGTCCATAAATACTGGCCGAATCCTGTTAGCCAATAAATAAAGTTCACCAGTTGGTCGTCACAAAATCCATTTATCCTTGAAGACAATTCCAGAACATCCTAATGTCATTATCTTGCACAAATTTTGGGGTTTTCCCCAGATTATTATAACATTCTGTGAAATTATTGGGGAAAACCAAAAACTTCCCCAAATATTTTGGTAACTATTCCAAGACTTGGGGAAATTCTGAGGTTTTGGCGCTGCTTCCCCGAAGTTTTCTATAGCGGTTTCCCTAAAATGGACAAAATTCCCCCCAAAATAGGGAGATTGGGATTTATGCCACCAAATTTGTGAACCTTGGTGAAATCGTCAAAAGGACTTACGATGGATTCAGAGAAGCATCATTTTTTACAACGTGAACATTATCATTCTCAAGCGACATAACAATGCAGGGGAACTGTTTTGTCACTTCTTGACAGGACGGCAAACCGACGCACTCGGGGATAGGTTGAACGCTCCAAGGTTAGCCTTTTGAAGAGCTGGATCGATTTAATCAAACAACTGCACTCCGATCGAAATAGTAAACTGAATTCACAAAGTTATTGCTAGAAAGAATGGTATTTCTAGTGAGCACTATTTATGGTAGCAAGTTGGGGCTGAAATAAGAGAAGCTCATCGGTGACGATGAAGAATGTGGCAGTGTAGTAAGTGCTGCTACTGGACTCGTTAAACACTTGACCGCGGTTGACGGGAACGTGAAATCTCTGTTGACATTAACGAGGAATGAAGTGTCGCTTGATATTGACATCGGCAGTCATACACCTCTAGTCGAAATAGAAGATCCGGATAAAACTGTCACCGTTCCACATAGTCCAGGTGTGGCTGTTCTGAGTGGCGACAGTTGGACTTCGGTAAGAAGGAAAAAAAATAAAAAGGCTGTAGGCAATGCGCAGCTGGTCAGCAAGACATTGGAAGGGGTGTTATCAGAAGAAAAATCCTCACCGTGTGACAAGACAGATCTCTCTGATAGATCAGTCATTTTTCATAAGGTAAGAGAATCTTCGGATACTGAACCAAAGGCAAGATTTGAACATGATCTCAATCATATTAAGACATCATTAAGTAAACTACTCCCAGATACAGTTTCAGGAGTTAGTATTTGTAAGCTTTATAGAATAGGAAAAAAGGTGGATTCCGAAAGTCCTCAGAAAAACCGCCTCCTAAAGGTTACATTCAATACGGTGGAAGAAAGGAACCTGATTCTAAGTAATTCACGTAAACTGATTGGATCCGGAATATATGTCCGTGAGGATCTCAGCCTAGCTGATCGTATTAAGAGAAGAGATGCAGAAGCGGAAATAAACGAGCGTCGCCGAAATGGTGAAAGAAATCTCGTTCTTAAGGGTTTTCAGATTGTAAAAGTTCGGAGCAAAACGATCCCCAAGCCACTCTGGGTGGCAAGGGAAAGTTCTCCACAGACTTAAAAGTGTGCTACACAAATGCTCGCAGCCTACTAAATAAAATGGCGGAGCTGAAGTCAGTGGTGGATAAAGAAAAACCGGACGTTATCGCTGTCTCGGAAACTTGGTTAACGTCACAAGTATTAGATAGTGAAATCCAGTTGACTGGTTTCATAACCAGTAGAGCTGATAGATTAAACCGAAGGGGAGGCGGGGTTATTGTGTACACGAAAAGTACCCTAACCATAAGATTAGCTGAGACAGTAGCACATGTTTCAGGGACATGTGAACTAGTGAGATGTAAGTTGAAATGCCGACGGCAAGATATTGAAGTAGTTGTAGTTTATCGCAGTCCAGAAAGTGTAGCAGATGATTTTCTCCTAAGTAAACTTAAGTCCTGGTGTAACAACGGTAAAAGCCTTGTATTAGGCGACTTTAATGCACCATATATAAACTGGGTAAACTTAGAAGTAGGGTCAGCCATATCGTCTTTCGACTCCAAACTGTTAGAAACCTCGATTGGACTAGCATTATTACAACACATTAGAGATCCCACAAGATACGATTTAAGAAACTCGTCTTCTATTTTAGATTTAGTCTTCACGCACGGCAATGACGTTGGTCACACGGCTTTTCTTCCACCACTTGGGAGAAGTGACCATGCAGTCATCTTATTCAAATTCATGGTTGAGATTGCTTGTCAAACAATTGCGCCGGCCCGTCCTAACATATGGAAGGCAGATATGCAGGCAATTAACTCCGTAGCATCGGCTGAGAACTGGGAAATTGATTCAAAGGCATCAGTACAAGAGGCATGGACTCTATTCAGGCTGTTATATAATTGGGTAACTCAACCATACATACCCTGGACTGTCCCAAAGAAAAAGAAGCACGGACATCCCTGGATAGGGCGGGATATTCGACGCTTACTAAGACAAAAGAAGAAATGCTGGGATGTTGCCATCCGCCTTGACACAGCAGGTACGCTGGAACGTTACAGATCGATAAGAAACGAGTGTATAACTAAAATTCGGGAAGCGCAAAGAAAATTTGAAATGCAGCTGGCACAATCTGCACTCAAGCAGCCCAAGAGGATATTCTCGTACATAAACTACAGAACAAGGATTCATCATTGGATTCCCAACCTAATTAAAGTAGGAAGTGAATCTGAACTGATAGAGGAAGATCAGGAAAAAGCTGAGGTTATGGCTGACTATTTTGGGGCAGTTTTCACTCAGGAATCTCCTCTAGAGAAAGAACCAGACCCAATTACAGAGTCAACAAACCAGCTGCTTACCGTGGACTTCGACCAAAACGATGTGCTTAAGGCTCTTAGCACCCTAAATATGGAAAAGTCAACAGGACCAGATGAACTACACCCTAAAATCTTGAGACATATAGCCCAATATATCGCAGCACCACTGACTGTGATATTCAAAATGTCACTTGACCAAGGTGTGTTACCTATGGACTGGAAGGACGCAATCGTCACTCCCATACATAAAACAGGTCCACGACAAGTTCCATCGAATTACAGACCCGTAAGCCTCACCAGTGTTGTAATTAAAATACTGGAAAGAATAATCAAACGGACCATAACGGTATTTATGGAAACAAATAACTTGATGAACATGGCACAACATGGTTTTAGAAAGGGTCTATCCTGTACAACGAACATCCTTTTAGCTAGGGAGCTCTGGATTAATGCGCTAGACAACGGAAACTCAGTGGATGTTGTCTACATAGACTTCAGTAAGGCTTTTGACAAGGTGCCAACTAATAGACTGCTATTGAAGTTGGCAAACCTTGGTATTGCCGGACCTCTTTTAAAATGGATTAAGGATTTCCTAGTAGGTCGTAGGCAAAAAATAAGAATAAATTCCAAGTGCTCCACCTGGAGACCAGTACTTAGTGGGGTACCTCAAGGTTCAGTCCAAGGTCCTTTACTTTTTATATTGTACGTTAATGATCTTACAAGTATAGTACAGTCTCCAATGTTATTATACGCTGACGATGTAAAAATTTGGCGAGTAATAACTGGAGAAAAAGACGCATTTACTCTTCAGGCGGACTTAAATAATATGATAAACTGGTCTAAAGAGTGGCTGATGCCTGTCAACTCGGAAAAGTGTGTCTACATGCACTTAGGGGATTCAAAGGTTAATACATACAACATAGGGGATGTGTCATTGCCCGTAGTCCGGTCTCATAAGGATCTAGGGGTGACAGTGAGCAATGATCTTAAGACGACGGCCCATTGCCGGGAGGTCGCGGTTAAGGGGTTTCGAACCCTCTGGGCTTTAAAAAGGACGTTCACTAAGTTTGATACTACCATGTTCACCACATTATACACATCCTTAGTGAGAACTAAGTTAGAGAACTGTGTTCAGGCTGCAAGCCCCTGTTTAAAAGGTGACTCAGACATACTAGAAAAAGTGCAGAGGGCAGCTACGCGTGCAATTCCGGAACTCCGGGGTTTATCATATAAAGAGCGGCTTGAAAAACTGAACCTCTTTACTCTGTCCTATCGCAGACTAAGGGGAGATCTAATATTGATGTACAGAATATTGAGACATGATTTCGGACCTAACTTATTCTCTCTTTTTCTTCCCACTAGATCGGGACACCTCAGAGGACATAGCAGGCGAGTAGAAAAGCCAAGAACGAACAAAATACCCGTGGCATACAGGTTTTCACACCGAGTCATCAATACTTGGAACCTGCTGCCTCAAGCAGTGGTGTCCGCACCTTCAATTGACTCTTTCAAGAGAAGACTGGACACTCACAGAAGCATACTAGAAAAGGAATAACATAGGCTGTAGGCCTTCTGTCCTTACCACACAAATCTGAATCTGAAATCAAATCTGAATCTGTATATTGTTGTAGAAATTGTTGAGTTGTAATTGAGATTGATAATTATCATCCAGTCTTCAGTAATAAGGATCGGTGGTCTGTCAACCTATATTATTCCTTGCAGTTTGTAACACTGTGGAGGTTCAATCTCGTTTTCAATATATCAACAGAAAGTGCTGGTATTACGTGTTCTGGTAGGAAATTCCAGTAATTCACTACTCGGTGCGAAAAAATAAACTCCAGACGTTTATGATTTGATCTTGGTTTCTGAACTTCCGTCGAATGCCCTCTCAGATGGTTAGTCCTTGATGAAAGGAAAAGATGGGACACATCAGTATCAAGGTCATCGCTCAGTAAACCATAACTAAAATAATGTTGTGTCTCAGTTTATTTTCATAAGATGGCTCAAAGAGACCTTTTACTATTTTAGTCCCTCGTCGTTGGACTCGTTCCAGCATATCCGTATCATACTTGAAACAAGCACTCGCTGCTTGAATCCCATATTCTAAATGCGATCTCACGAATGTTGGGGTATAATAACCTAAAAATTTCTCCATCCAATTACTGAAAAGACCTACGAATACCCTATGATACCCTATAGCCTTTTGCGGCAGCAGCCTTACAGTTACTATTAGTTTTGAGATCGCTCCTTATTATGACTTTCAAGTCTTCATAGTTTTTTACTTTAGGGCAATACGAATCCACATATTGTGTAGTGATACGAATCATCACCACACTCTTGTTATGATTCACTTCAAGAGACCATTCGCCCATCCATGCCACCAATGAGTTGAGATCGTCCTGTAATACCATTGTATCTGACATACTGTGTATGGGACTCCAAATCTTTATATCGTCAACGAAGAGTAGAACGAATGACTTTGCTACGGTTAATGATTCATTTGTATAAAGTAAAAAGAGAATAAGACTGAGGATCGTGCCTTGGGGAACTCCACCTTTTACAGGTTCCCACGATGAGAGAGACCCATTTACCCTTACTGTCTTCCTTGTCATGGAGAAAGTCACTTATCCGGTCTATGACCTTATGATCAATTCCAAAACTTTCCACGTTTAATTTAAGACCTGAATGAGCGACCTGACCAAGGACGTTACTTAGATCTATGAAAACCACATCTACAGGAATATTTCGATCTTTAGTCATAGCCCAATCTCTTGTAATTGGTGGGTCATTCAAACATGATGGGT